TTTCCATTTCGCTCTATGAGAGCCGCACTACGGTGAGTGTTTCACAGCCTAACTACCCGTTTTCCTGTGTCTTTGTGGTGACGCACAGAGTCGCCGCCTCCACATTTGTGCTAGTGGTTCATCACTCTGGCATTTAAGAGTTTAGATTTCTGATATTTTCTCTGCTTTCCATTTGGTTATTTCTAACCTACAGTTCCAAGATAAGTTTTTCTCCTTCAATATCATAGTTCTTTGTTCCAAAATAATATTTTATTATTATATCATATTATTATATTTTGTTCCAAAATATTTTCTTTCATAAATTCTAAATACTTTCTTTTTCTGTTTTTCCCTAATCGGGTTCATCTCCTCATTTATATACTGTGCATATTTTTTCTACCAATCAAAATAAAATAAATCCAAAATAAATCTAAATAATATCTGCCAAAAAGGGTTACTCCCTTTATTATAACAGGTGACCCCTGTTTGCTATAGTGGTCTTGTGTTATACTATATACAGTGGGTGATCCCCTTCTTATTGTTGCATCATTGGGTAACACTCATATGCTCCACTTGTTTGACTCCCAAGATTTATTTTAAAGGGTAACCCTTATTTAATATTGGGTGTCCCCCAATCATTCTCAAAGGGTGACCCCCTATTATTTCTGTTTTTTTTACATTTAATTTACATGTTATCTTAATTATTAATTAAGCTACCCTGTTGCCTATTTGTTATATTAGCTGATAAAATGTGGTCAGTGTTAATATTACTTTGTGATACTTATCATCAATATATCTGACCAACCAGACTTTACTGTTTCTGCTGAGCTAAAATCTTGGCTTTTTTCCCACAATAGCGGAATCTATGCCTAAAGCCATAGCAGTCTAATCCTGTTCCCAAATCACCTTTTTCTGACTCTGAGGATTCCCATAATTGATCTGACCAAGAAGGGGCTCTGCACAAGTGTCCCAGGAAGGGCAACAGTGCTTCAGCCGGTAAAGACAAGGCACCAGCTAAAACCCAGAGATTGTCTCATACCTCAAAAAGCCAACAAATAATTAATCCTCTGGAAGATTTCACACACAACTATGACCTACAAGTCGTGGACGAGTACTGTGTGGGGTATTCTATTGAGGAATTCCGACCTATGCGAAACACACTAATACTCCTTATGTCAAGGAGTCTTTTGTGGCCAAATCTTATTTGATCCTAGGATCATCAAACATCCCTGCTTGGCTGAGTGGGTGCCACAGGATCTTTCCAGGGTCGCACTGCTCAAGGTAATCAACCTACCTTATTTTCTAGTACCTAATGCAGGCCATGTAACCTGTTTTTTTCCCACAGTGGTCTCTCCTCACTCAGGATCCTTGGATCCTTCAAACAGTTTCAGGGTTTCACATAGATTTCACCTCTGACCCACTACAAGGATTTCCTCCTAACCATCTAAGGATGTCCCAATCGGACATCACCATCTTGGACACATAACTCTGCAAGCTCAGAGACAAGGGCAAGACATTCTCCATTCCCACCCAAGTCTATCAGCAACATTTTCCTGGTCTGGACAAAATCCAACAAATCATCAATTCAAGAAATTTGAATCAGTTCATGTTATATCGTCATTTCAAAATGGAAGGCTTACACATGCTTCGAGACCTTCTCTGCAAGGAAGACTGGTTCTCCCGCTTTGATTTAAGAGATGCTTACCTTACAGTTCCGGTGGCATCCTCCCACTGCTCCAATTCCTCTGGCAACAAGATCTCTGGTAATTCACTTGCCTCCCTTTTGGGCTCTCTTCCGCTCCTTGGTGTTTCACCAAATTGATGAAACCAGTTATGACTCCCAATGTATCAGATCCATCATCTATCTACATAACATTCTAATCAGGGCTCAAGATCCACACAAGATCCTTCAAAACACACAGAAATGGCCAAATTTCTCCACCAGAACCTCGGATTTGTAATCAGTTTTGAGAAATCTTCTCAAATCCCATCTCAGACTGTCCTTTTCCTGGGTTTTCAGATCGACTCCGTCCTTCTGATTCTTCAGCTACCGTTTTCAAAAGTAAAGTCCTTCAAAAAAGATATTCAAAGACTGCTGTCCTCTCAACAAATTTTTCTTTTCTATTTAGCGCGAATCATAGGACTTCTGTCAGCCGCTATTTAGGCAATTTCCCAAGGCCCTCTGCACTATAGAGCAATGCAACATCTCAAGAGATTATCTTCACAGATCCAGGTCATAAGACCAACCAATAGTTCTTACCAACGAGGTGGCTCCAGAATAGGGAGGCTTGGAACGGGAAATCTATATCCGGGTGCCAACCTGATTTTTATCCTGAAGTCAGATGCCAACCTCCTGGGTTGGGGGGCTTCCTGTGCCTAATCTGTTTGTTGGTGCAACTAAGCACCACGTATTTGGTGTTACTGAGTTGTTCTATTACTTGGTAAGATCTCTGCCAGTATGCTTGTAGCTTGCCATGTCGGACTGGCTTTAATTCCATAACCTTTTGCATGACATGCAACCTATGAGTTCGGATGCCCCGGTCATGCAACACATGCTGTTTCCCCGGGATAGCTGGAGATTCTCTTGGACCATCTGGGTTAACTGCGTCATACAGTCCTGGAGCTCGAGCATGTAAGGTACGATCGGGGTACCTATGATCTTCCCTTCCTAATGCTCCCAAATTAGATCACCCTTCTCCCATACTGGAGCTTGAATGGGGAGAACCCCATGGATTCCTGCGGTACCTCCCGTTCAGCAAAAAAGAGATGCGGCAGGAATCTCTCCCAGTCTCTACAAGCAGTGGTGAACATCTGAACCATTTGCTTCAGTATCCCATTTCCCATTGAATGATAGATTTTTGGAATGTCATATGGGTATATTATAAGTCAAACCTAAATGAAGTTCCAGTACATTTTTTAAAATGTCAGAATAATGATATTAAGGGACTTTGAGTAAAAGGCATAGCATCTTCAGACAGAGGAGGAGATAGAATGCTTAAACTCAGACAGAGAAAATCTTATTAAATTTACCAATTAGGCACTTTACAGGAAAGTTGTTTAAACAAACATTTAGCTGCATGTACCACTTAAATTAATTTTATGCACAGATTACATTATTCCATGTTTAGATTTTCATACAAATGTTTATAGTGGGGTTTTTTTCTGCCTAAACATAACATTATATATTTTTTAGACAGATCAATTTTGCAATATACATATTTTTTAATTGTTATTTTTTATTTTTTGTAAATATATTTTTATGTGTGCAATATATGCATTTTAATAATATACACAGGCCTTTTTTCCCACATATATGTATATATACATAGATAAGTTATAATCTAATGTGTGGCAGATAAAAAATTTCCAGTATCAATAACAGTTAAATTGTTAATACATTCATTCGATATTAGATACTGAAATTGTTTATTTCATGAAGTTAAAAAGTAGTTGCAATATGTTTTCAAGTGTATATAAATAGGAAGCGAAAATCCACCTCCTTATCCTGATGAAGTTGGACGACATCCCATGAAACGCGTTGATTGGAGGCATGGCAGTTGGTAACCCGCAAGGAGTATCTCAAAGGAAGGACCGTAGGATGCTCTATCTCTGATTCAGCCCTAAGAAATACTAGAGAACGCTGTGGACTCGTTTTTTTTTAACTTTTTATTTTATTTTTTTAATTTTTGTATTTCAGACCTATACCAGCCCTGCATACGTTTAGTATTGCTTATGTAAATTGGGCCTTGGTATATTGTCATCATCAATGCATCTTGCAGGTCTATTAGTCTTGCTATCCCTCCCACCCAGGTCCCCCCCTATTCTAAGTTAACATTAATATGGATTTCTGTCTATCAATTTTATTCCTCTGGTCTTGGAGAACGCCTGAGCCTCTTATATCCTATATAGTTTTGATGTTTTATTATTCTGTTTGTTGCCTGGTTTAGGGTTATATTTTTTTTCTTTCTTCTCCCTTCATCATCTTCATGAAGAGTAGTAAAAGCCTAGTGTGTCATCCATTTTGTTTATCCATGTATCCCATTCTTCTATTTGCTGATATCTGTATCCTAAGTTCACAAGAATACCCCTTTCCATTCTTGCTTGCCTAATCACTTGTTTTATTAATTTGTTGATGCTTGGAATTGTCTCTGTTTTCCAATTTCGTGCTCGTAGTAATTTAGCTGCCGTAATTGTTTGTAATATTAACATTGACATTGTTTTTCTCATAGCTGGTCAATGCAAGTTTAGCAGAACCACTTCGGGCTTAAAGAACCACTATAGTGCCAGGAAAACATACTTGTGTTCCTGACACTATAGTGCCCTTAGGGTGCCCCCACCCTCAGGGACCCCCTCCTGCCGGGCTCTGGGGAGAGGAAGGGGTTAAACTTACCTCTTTCTCCAGGGCCGGGCGGGGAGCTCTCCTCCTCCTCTCCGCCTCTTCTCCTCCTCTTCAGCTGCGCGTGCATTCAGCCAGTCTCATAGGAAAGCATTCATAATGCTTTCCTATGGACGCTTGCATCTTCTCACTGTGATTTTCACAGTGAGAAGCACGCAAACGCCTCTAGCGGCTGTCAATGAGACAGCCACTAGAGGCTTTAGAGGCTGGATTAACCTATTTATAAACATAGCAGTTTCTCTGAAACTGCTATGTTTATAAAAAAAAAATGGGTTAACCCTAGCTGGACCAGGCACCCAGACCACTTCATTAAGCTGAAGTAGTCTGGGTGCCTAGAGTGGTCCTTTAAGAGGTAATTTTATTTCCGTTATTTGATATATTATCTTAAGTACTTCTTTCCAAAACTTGTTTATGGGTATACACTGCCACCAGATGTGGATCATGTTGCCTTCACCAATATTGCATTTCCAACATCTATCTGATAACTCTGGGAAGATTCTCTTTAAGCATTTTGGTGTTAAATACCATCTATTTGATAGTTTAAATTGAGGTTTCTGTGAGGTTTAAGCAATGTATATTTTTATTTAATTTACTTAGAAAATTTATCTATTCTCCTTTTCGATATCAGGGCTGTCCAACCTGCGGCCCCCCCAGATGTTGCTGAACTACAACTCCCATGATTCCCTGGCTATCTGTTTCATTGAAAGAATCATGGGAGTTGTAGTTCAGCAACATCTGGGGGGGCCGCAGGTTGGACAGCCCTGTTCTATATGTACCTGTAGTTATTTTCCCATTTATAGATCAGTGTTATCGGTCTGTCATGTCTCCATCCATATACAACTTTAGCACATTTTGCCAGCAGATTTTTGTAGTTATTTGATTCAAAGTAGGTATATGAGGTTTATGGTATTCTCCCCCTTGTTTTTATAGAGGTGTTCTACTAGGAAGCTCTTGATTCATAGATAATTAAACGTTTCACTAGAAGGGATGTTGAATTCCTTCATAATTTGGTTGAAAGATTTAAGATTAATGTCCCACCAATATATTTTTGAATTCCTTTATCCCCCTTAATGTCCATGTTTCTATTTCTATATTTTCTAACATATCCAAAATGCTTACAAATGGGAGCACGCCTAATATTTTATTTCTGAGTCCTTTGCTGTTTGTGAGTTTACCCCACCATCCTGTTAGCTCCTTAAGTATCTGGGATTTAGTTTGTGCCACTCTGATTAATTTTTTTGTATGTCTCATCAGCCCAAAATAGTGAGGATAAATGTCCAACTCCAGTTTTAGCTTTTTCTATTTCATACCATATTTCTTGAGTTGCCGCCTTGCTTTGTGTGAGCATGCATATTTTAACTTTTAATGTTCATTTTGACACTCCTGTTCGTGAGTGCAATTAAGTAGATTCTAACTTTGGTAATTAAGATATAATCAAGGTTGGGGCTCCACGTATCTCTTTTAGTTATTGACAATCACTAAATATTGAGTGAATATTGATCAATATGAATTGAATATTAATCAATATTTATTCAGAGATCAAGTAAGAACTTACCAATGGAGAAGGGAAAAAAGGAAGAACAGTAAAAATATATATATATTTTATAAATATAGTTTTTTTTGGTTGGGTTTTTTTTTTTACTGTATCTCCACAGTTTTCTTCTATTGGTTACTGTTTCTCACTTGATCTGTCTGTGAACCAAATGGCAGGATAATGTGCCTGCTGGTGTATATATTTTGCAGTACATTGATTGAAAAATAGAATGCGGTGAAGCATCTTGGAGTGATAAAAAAGGTATAACATTTATTGAATATAGTGAAAACTATCCTAAAAGGAGATATATAAGTACAATCAGAATATTCTGTACTCCCAAATAGTAGGTGGACAAACAGATGAAAAGAGTAAATCTACGAACTGTGGAGAAAGAAAAATAAATGTGTAAGAAATATAAGTAAAAAAGACTATAGTAGCAGAATACCTTGTCCAAAGAGAGTATCCAAAAAGTATCTACAATTAGACAGTGGGTAACAATGTACCAAATCCACCACTGGATATCACTGGATACCTCTTCACAACACAGTATAACAAAACCCTAATGGGGGGTAGATAATATACCAGGTAGGCTACATTTTTTTTACCAAAGGCAATAAATAAGTATTAGCAGGTCTTATACCAGTTAAAGCCTAGAGCCAAACGTTTACTCGCTCGTATGCGGGATAACAGGCAGGGTGCATGTGCCAGCTGATCCCTATACTTGTCTAAAAGATAATAAAATTGCGTTTTTTAATCCCTACATATTTGGCAGATGGCATATGTTCCCTCCATGCATGAAACCTAAAGTCAGAAGTTTCCTAAAGTATATAAAATAATAGTACCCCAGTACCCTACCGTCAATAGTTCAGGAGACAAAAGGTTCAATACGTCTATGCTCCCATACTCGAGGAGTGAAGTTACACTGTATTTAAGTTATAAGTAAAAAAAAAAAAAATCAACCCAAAAGACATCAGTATATGCACTCGACGCGCATTTCACCCGGCATCCTTGGCTGGGATCACCAGCACTCCTTTTAGGGCATAAAACATCTAATTATAGTGGGGGAGTACATCTATCTACCACCATTTCTTTACCTATTATCAATAGTGGTGGACAAGAAAGAGTTCTATATTTCTCACAGTACACTGATTGGCACATTTTTGCATCATTTTTCATTTGCCTAATTTTTCCCCCAGATATTTTTTACTAAGTTCATCCAAGCCGAGCTACCACATAGACACGCGTTAACATCTGAGCAAAATTGTATTTCTGGGGAAAAAAACTTTCAAGGTGCTTCACCACATTCTATTTTTCATGATTGTACGCTCTTAGGGCATAAAACCCCTAGTAACAGTGGTGGAGTACACCCATCTACCACCATTTCTTTACCTATTACCAACAATGGTGGACAAGAAAGATTTCTATATTTCTCACAGTACACTGATTGGCACATTTTCGCACCCTTTTTTGTTTGCCTGATTTTTTCCCCAGATATTTTTACTAAATTCATCCAAGCCGAGCTGCCACATGGACACGCGTTAACATCTGAACAAAGTTGAATTTCCAGGAAAAAAAACTTTCAGGGTGCTTCACCACATTCTATTTTTCATGATTGTACGCTCTTAGGGCATAAAGCCCCTAGTTACAGTCGTGGAGTACATCCATCTACCACCATTTCTTTACCTATTATCAACAATGGTGGACAAGAAAGAGTTCTATATTTCTCACAGTACACTGATTGGCACATTTTTGCACCATTTTTCATTTGCCTAATTTTTTCCCCAGATATTTTTTACTAAGTTCATCCAAGCCGAGCTACCACATAGACACGCGTTAACATCTGAGCAAAATTGTATTTCTGGGGAAAATTGTTTGGCCGAACCGAAAAATCTCTCTATGCACAAGGTTACTTTTGAATGAATGTTGGTCTTTTTTCGGTTCACATAGAAAGAGTATATTGGATTGTATACACCTCATAATTACTGCTTATGCCAACAGATGATTGCTTTGGTGAGAATGATGTAATCTACTGTGGCTACATATTCTGTGTTGCTTTGGTGTTAATGTATTTTATTTTATTTAATCTTTATGCTATTGGGAAATATAAACAAAAATAAGCACAAAACTTGCTTTTGTGTCTAATAAAATCATGACTTTCCATAAAATAATGGAATTATCTTATCTGCCAATAATATATAGTGGTCCTAACATAACCTAAAGCAATTACATTGTTGACTATGTCATTGCAGTTTTGTGACGACACACATTGCAAGTTGCATAAAATCCCACGATGCATGCACAATAGAATTTGCTGATAGAATGAAAATATACCCAATGATAGAATTTCTTATTTAATGTGGATATCCGTAAAAGCAAAATACATGTTGATACTGTATTTGTTTCATCTACAACTGCTACTCTTTGCCACATCTGCTTCCCTGAATATGAAAGAAAAAAAAAAAAAAGCTTCCAGGTTTTAACTTATAAAATCAACATGCAGCGACCGTATTAACATAGAGCTTTATTATCTCGAATTATTGTGTGTACTGATATGGGGGCTCAGACTTGGCTTCCTACTGTGGATAATTAACTTTCTGTCTGACTGCTGTTCAATTAATTTTCATTGGATGGTTTGTATGAGCATATTGCTTTCTTTAGTAAATAACCATAACAAAGCTGGTAAAATGTATCCAGATTCTTCCTGCTGCTCTCTTCATGAAGGACAAACACATGACCTTAAAGCTTATCTACAAATGTCACCTAATATTGGCGAGCTGGCAAAATGCTTAATTAAGGTACGCATGAATTCTAATAAAGAATTACAAATGGTGTAGCTGAGTTTGTACATTAAGATAATGTTTACAAAAAAACTGCATATTTTCACATATGTTGGCCTGGTCCAGAATTGGTCAAAAATGGACATCAACTCCAATCACTATTTGACAGCCTGCTAATTTAACAGCAAGAGGATGATTATCCATATGCAATGGGCATGTAAAGAAATACCTGTGCATATGATCATTATTGTAGGAACAGTGCAGCAAGCATTGGGAGCCAAAAGCTCCTGCTAGGAGCTTAATTTGCTCTTCTGTGCTAAGCCCTGCAATACAGAGCCAGCTTATTTGCTGAGAGCATCCCTCGCTTGCTCTAAGCCAATGAGCAAAATGGACCCCATGTGAGAAGTCAAAACATTAGTAAATGTTTTGACTATGCACATTGTGAGGTAGCACCAGGGTTTTCCTGGGACCATAACCACTGCGGCATGCTGTAGTAGTTATGATGCTTGTGATTATCAAGCTTGGAGTGTTCCTTTTATTATTATATCATATTTAATGAAAGAATACAAGATGCCAGTTGTTCAGTGAAAGATTATTATATGCAAATATCCATAAATGCAGACAAGGCACCAGTCATGCTAACCTACAACATCTACATTTAATTAAAAATATGGAAAGCAAATTTGGTTACATAATTTATAATGACTTACTTTAAAATATTGCTTATTTATACTATTACAATTTCTACAGGGAGGTATAATTATGTGAGGCTGTATTAATTTGTTCATGTACTTATTATTTTTTTCTTTGTACCTGGCACTGGATATAAGAAATCACTGTTCACAAAATTGAATTTTAGAATATTTTCCTGGTGGGTGAGTCAAAGAATGGATGAATGAGTAATAACTACAGCTAACCCTTTCTATCCCAGGCAGGATTTAATTTTTTATAATATTACAGAGGTATAGCTGTTCTCAGAACAAATGAACCCTCGGCTGCGGGCATTTCTGGTTTCTAGTTTCTCATCTTTTGTTACACAAGATACTACATTAAGAATGTTCTATCTCTCTCCCCTCTTGCTTCTTTTATATTTTACCGTATATCAAAGAAAACTTTTCTTCACTCTGATGCATAGACCATAAAAACACCACAGCTACATTTTATGAAACTGAAGCAAAATAATCTCAAACTAACTGCTAAACTAAACCATATTTCATTCAGATCGTGATTTTCTTGGAAAATAAAGAAAAAAAATATCCCACAAACAAAATCTAAAGCTGCTTTATGAATAGTTCTCCAGAAGCAGAGAACATCCACTAATCTAAGATGCAGACAAAGAGAAGAGCAGAGGTGAAGAAGCAACAATAAGCAATTTATCTGTGTACAAAAGTCTGCAGAGAAAGTCTAAATAGAATACTTATTGATTCTCTCTTGGCTATAGTAAGACTACTGT